AGTAGGAGGGAATCATTCCCTGGGGTACCTGTGTGGCTCAGTTGGTTGAGTGTCCAACTTTGGCTTGTGTCCTGATCTCTGGGTTCATGAGTTTGAGCCCCACATCTGACTCTCCGCTGTCAGTGCAGAGTCCACTTTGGATCCTCTGTCCCCCTCTGTACCTGCCCTACTTGGGCTTGCTCTCTCCCTCTCAAAAAAAAAATTGATGTTAAAAAAAATTTTTTTTTAAAAAGTGTGATTCTCTAAAAGATTCTAAACCAGTGCTTCACGTATTCTAATATGCAAAGAAATCACCTGGGGACTAAAATGTGAATTTTGACTCTGTGGGTCTGGGTTGGAGCTTAACATTCTGCATTTATGTCAAGCTCCCAGATGATGCTCCTAGTGGTGAGACCTGGGCCACTTTGAGTAGGATGATTCTAGGGGGAGCATTCCTATGGCTGATATACTGGTGTTCATATTTAAACCAGAATTGAGCCACCATCCCGGTTTTCCACAGTAGGCAAGCCAACTGCCAACAAACTATGGAAAAGCACAAAACCAAATGCACAAATTTGAAGGACAGCGCTTAACTCCATTTCTGTCTTATAAAATACTAGACTTAGATTCTAATAAATGCTGTGATGGGTCTATGGATACCAGGTTCGTGACCCTGCTCAAAAGATCTGGAAAATGCCAAGTGGTTGGAAGTTATTACTAGGGTAGCCAGGTGGAAGGATTATGTAGAATCTGATATTTGCTCTTGTTTGCAAAATAGGTGCCATGTGTCCCTTGTTCCATTTCCTTTCTCTCACCTGTGTTGTCCCGCCCTGGCCTGGTGGATCACAGCTGCTAATCATGTTTGTCGGTTCACAGATGATTGAGATTAAAAGTATCTTAACCTGTCAGAATAAATAATGTTGCCTTGGGAAGTCTGACTAAAATGTACTGGACTAAAAAGACCTGGGGGATTTTGTAGTGAAAATTCAGCCATCTTTATAGCCTCTCTTGTAGGTTTTGTAGCAGTCGAGCTCAGATTTGCATTCTGCCTTGAGTTGTGCCCTTAGGAACTTCTAAAAAGAAGGTATACATGTAGATTTTTCTGATGAAGTTAAAACATTTTCCTGACCTTGAAATGTGGAATTGTGTATGTGGCAAAAGAGGTTTGGAATGCTAAATTTAAAAATTATATGAGCAGCTACAAACTTCCAGGCAGAGTTTAATTCTCTTTTTAATCCCCAATTTTTGTCTAGAAGTTGATCCTTGGTAGTCACATGATGAAGTTGGTGGCAGTGACAGTTTCAAGGTCCGTGTTGTGTGTAAGGATTTGCTAATTGAACGAGCTCCACTGGTTCACAAGTCGTCTCTGCCTGTTCAGCGTCTCACTTGTTGCCTGTCCCACCAGTGTGTCTCAGCCCTGCCGTGGCACACGGCTGAGGGACTGATGATGTTTGTAGGATACCTGAGGGTAAACAGAAACAGCCTTTTGTGGCCAGAGGCAGCCATCCAGGGTTGATCTGAGGGATCAACAGCTCTGATTCCTTTTTCCCAGGATCATCCTGTCCGATCGGGAAGCTCTGCTTTACAACTACTATTTTGACCTTCATGGAATTAGATTTCTTCATTGTGCTGCATGTAGTCAGTAGTCCTTTTCAGTAGAATTGCTTAATTTTAAAAAGGTCTTATAATGAGACACTAAAAAAAAAACTGGTAGAAAAAAATATATAGCATGATCCTCAATTTTATGAACTTCAGAAACAAGCGAAATTACATTTGTTATGTGGGGATACATACATATGTGGTATAGTCCAGGAAATCAAGACAATTAGAAACAACTCATGATTAGTAGTTCTTTCTGGGGGAGAGAGGTAGTGGGATTGGATTAGGGAGCCCACACAGAATTTAAACAGCATTTGTAATGTAGGAGTTTTCAAATTGAGTATTGGGTAGAGTTTTACTAATGTGCTTTATGAGCTATACATATAATTTTCTTTTGATAGCATCATACTTCATAGTGAAAATAAATGAACAGGTAAAGAATATTTAGAAAGAAAAGGTCTTAGTATAGTTCTAATTCTCTCCCCTCATTGTATTATTTTAAAATTATAAACTTATAAAAGTAATAAAACTATACTAAGGAAAAGTCAGGGAGAGAGCATAGCTGTAATACCAATCCCCTTATACTAGTACTCTTTATTTCCAGCATGAGTGTTTATATTCTCAGTTATAACAATGTGTATCACTATGAATCATTATATTGTATGGTGGACTAATCATCTTTATAGCCATCAGTTTTAATGGCTGAATATTCCCATGAGTGGTTCGTATCCTAATATACTAACCATTCTGCTATAATGGAATATTCAGATTCTTTCATCTTTTCTGCTATTACAGAACATCTTCAAGTTACATTCATTCCACAAGTAATTTACATATATGTAAGGCATTTGCTAAGTGCTCTAATTACAGTAGTAAGCAAAAACAGCCATAGTCTCTGTCCTTGTGGATTTAGACTCTGATGATTAACAGTTCTTGATTATATTTTGCATTTTAAGCACATTAATCCTTAGACTTTCAAGAAAGCTTATTTTGAGAGAATCTATACACACGGTTCTAAGAACCAATACAGAAAGGCCCCATGTACCCTTCACCCACTTTCCCCAATGGTAACATCTTCTGTAATTCCACACACAGGAAATTGACATTGATATGATCCATCACCTTTCAGATTTCACCAGTTTTACATGGTATTTGGGTCTATGTATATGTTTTGTGTGCAATTTTATTATGTGTGTAGTTTGGTGTGACCACCACCACCACCACAGTTGAGGTAGAGCAGTTCCTTCATGGGGATCCTTCACTCTCCCCTTTCATAGCTATGGCCATTTCTCTTCATTCCTCACCCCCCTTAACTGCTGGCAACCACTAATCTGTTCTGTCTTTATAATTTTGTAATGTAAAGGGTGTTCTATAAATGGCACAATGTAGTATGTAAGTTTGCAGGACTAGAGTTTTTAATACAGAATAATTTTCTTGAGATCCGTCCAAGTTGCTGTGGGTTTCCGTACCTTTTTCCTTTATATTTTTGAGTAATGCTCCATTGTATGGAGGTATCCCATTCATATACCTGTCAAAGGACATTTGGACTGTTTCCAGTTTTGTGCTGTTACGAATAAAGCTGCTGTAAACATTTCCTCAACCTTTATTTTTAATGATTATATGTAAAAGGAAATGAGTAAGACTTCAGGCCTCTGTACTTTAGCCACCACTGTCTACATTTGGGTGTCTCTTTGTAGAATCTAAAGTAAGTCTCTGATGAATGGTATGGTGTTTGTGTCTGAAAATATGTCTTTAATATTTTGTGTCTCAAAATATCTTAAATTGTCAATACAGCTAAATTCTTCTTTAGCTTTTGTTCATGTGACTAGCAAAGCACATCCTGATGCCATCAGTATTGTCCTTTAGAACTTCTGAAGATAAAATCCTGATTTTCTGTTGCTTTGTCCCTTGAGGAATGGGGAGCCTAATACAAAGAAGTTACTCCATAGACATTTGTTCTACAAATGCCTTTGGTCCATAGAGTTGATTGCCTTGGTCTTCTTACTTAGTTCCAAATATTAAATAAATCTCCAGATTTTTAAAGTCTCTTTCAAAACCAGTGAAAACCAAATAATAATGACAGCCAGTTGAGGCTGCTGTCTATTTAGGAGGGAAACTGAGTCTTAGGGCAAAGCAGACTAAGGAGGGGAGTTACTGCTCGTGTTACTAGCCTCATAATTCAAAAGAGCAGGATTCTCCATGCCTGCTATCCTCTATACACACACATATACACATATGTACACATACCCAGACATCCAAACTACTGGTTTGCTGTATAGGGAGACTCTGGCTCTGTGCATGTTTTCTGAACTCTCATAAGCCTGAAACAGAAAGAACATGGGCTACTTAGCATAAGTTTTGAGGTGGCTTAGTGACCTGTTTGGTTACTTGTGTGTTTATGATTTAGGTCAGATGCTTAGCTGCTTGGAGTTTTATTCTTATTTCTTTTGAGTGAATGGCCATGGTCATCACTTTTCAAGGAAGAGGTGAAGATCAGGAACCCCCAAGGGCTAAGTGTGAACTTTGGCATGCAGCTGTGGGCCCAGTTGATGACTGACCTGGACCTGTCCAGAGGCTTGGTCAGTTGTAGGAGGTACAGCAGAGTGATGTGTCCTTCTGGGTCTCTGTCAATGAGCCAGCAGTTGGGGGCTCTGGAAAACAATTCCATTATCCCAGTTTGTACCCTCCCCCTCCCCCATCGTTCCTAACATAAAGTCTAAAATCTTTAACTGAGGATAAAGGCGATATAGTCTGAGCCCCGTGTGGTCTAGTCCATGCCTGCCTCTCAGAGACTCCCCTGGTGCTGTGTAACCCCTTCCTGCGTTCTGCAGTCCACTTACACAGGCCACCTTCGTGGTCGTCTTTCCACAGCTTCCTGTTCTTGCCCATCTCGGATCTTTGGTATATCTGTTCTGCCTGAAACACCATCTGCCTTACCCCTCTCCTCCTGTATTTTTCAAGTATTCCTATATGCGCCTTAGATCTTGGCTTCAATACGACTTCCTCGTGTAAGCCTTCCCTGACCCGTAGATGGTCTTGAGCCACTCACACATGCCTCAGAGCACCCCGTACTTGGTTTTGCTGCCCTCCTCCCCATTTGTGATGACGTTTATGAACCCTTAATTTGCTGGTACCAGTGTATCTCCCTTTTCTTGCCCTGCCTGTCATGAAAATAATGACCATTTCTTTGTGCACTATTGACTATTTAGTACCTGGTACAGTGTCTGGTACATAGCAGCTGCTCAGTAAATGTTGAATTAGTGAATTAATGAAAAAAAATAGCAACCTTGGTTTAACATAGAATTTCTTATTTTAACAATGGAATTCATACCTGTTTTTAAAGATCCAGTTACACGTTCTTATAAAATTGACTTCTCTTTGAAGTATAGAACGGTAATTCTTTTTTTTTTTTTTTCTTTCAGGTGGGGACCAGGGTTTACTGAACACATTTTTTAGCAGCTGGGCAACAACAGATATCAGAAAACACCTGCCATTTATTTATAACCTAAGCAGCATTTCTATATACTCCTACCTCCCAGCATTTAAAGCGTAAGTGCAAACCGTTTAACTGTTGTTCGAGATGGTCTAGGGCAGGGGAGTGGGATTTAAGATTTTGGGGGTTCCTCGTGATCATTCTGAGGGCAATAACAAGTGGGAACTTTGATGGAAGTCTTTGTCTTCTGAGAAATGTGCCTGTATCGGGGAAAGGCCTTGATGTTATCAATCACTTTATGTTTGGAGTGACCCAAAGGGCACTTATGGGAAAAGGTTCCCATTGGTTCCTGGAGGGCCTGGCCCTCTGATAAATCATCCGTATGTCATGGTCAAGGATACATACTGGGCACAAAACCAGCTTCTGCTTCTTATCGGCTATAGAGCTTCAGCTCTCTTACCTCTAAAATAAGGGTGTTCATAGCTTTCTCCATGGGTATTGTGGAGACTAAGCAAGATTTTGGCAACAGTATGGTGTCATGGTCAAGAGTAGGGGCTGTGGAATCAAACAGCCTCAGTTCACATTCTCAAGTAGCATCTTCCTGGTTGGTTAATAGTTACTGAACTTGTAGTTTAGTAGAAGTTAGATTAGTTACTGATCTTCTCTGCCTCCAAGTCCTCTCAGGCAAATTGTGATCATTAAGGGAGGTAATTGTACGAAGTGGTTAGAAGAGGACCTGGCCTACCCTCAGCACTCGGTAAACGTCATATTCTTAGTCCTTTTTGTTTGGGAGGTGGTCTAGCACGAAGAGTAGTCTCTGAAGCCAGAAAGGCAGGGTGTGTGTTGTCACTCTGCTGTTTACCTACTATATGGCTTAGGCTCTATGCCTCCATTTACCCATATGCAAAATGAGAAGGAAAAGAATACTACCTGCTGGACTAATCATGAGGATGAAGTGAGTTCATACAGACACAAAGCGCTCAGTGAACATCTTGTTTTTGGCACCATTACTTGTTTGGCACTCCCTCTGGTGTGGTTCTGATTTAGCAATTAATACAACCTAGTTGCAGTGCTTGTCTCCGTGAGGGCCTGAGCCCTGTTCTTTAGCCTCTGACTCATTTGTGTTGAACGAAGAAGATGATTCAGGTTTCTTGAAAGAAGGCCAAGCTGTCAGGTTGATCTGAGACACAGCCGTGAGCAGCAAAGCTCTTCATTGACTTGGGCTCGGCCCTCCAGTCTCTGTCCCCCATGGGCATTCCTGAGTGAGCAGAAAACAAAAGGCTTTATTTCACTCCTCATACTTCATTATCCAAAGTCCTCTCTTTAAGTCTCCCACCACAGTAATGAGCATGTCTGGCTTTTTGTGGCAGAAGTGTTTCCTTTTCTGTTCTTTTCTGGGAAAACTCTGTCAACATTCCCCCAGATAAGGATTCCAAGTATCTTGTGTTCTTTCCTCCCTAACTGTTCTCTTGCTCTATGTCTCTGACGTATTATAGCTTCTTGATTGACTTCCCTCTTGTGAATGAAACGGGCAAACTCTCAAAGATACCAACTGTGGTCCGAGTAAAGCAAATAGAACAGGATTCACTCTCAAGGGGTGGATTCAGAGAAGCATTTTTATTCATTTACTTTTTGCCTCTCAGTCCTTGGCCTTGTCAGGTAGCAACCTGTCTTGCTTGGAAATGTGGGCCTGATTCTTTTAATTCGTATTGCCTCATAACTCACCCTGCTACTTTGAACAGTGCTCCTGCAGACCGTGATAGCTTGACCCCCTAGAACTGAATTTGTCATAATAGGGCAGTTGCTTAATGTAATTGACTAGATTCGGCTGAGCAAGCCAAAAGATGAGAAGGTGAAGGAGCAAGAATAATTAGTAGTGTGAGCGATTCTACCCACCATTCCACTTAATTCTGCACAGTAAGCATGTGTCCTGGGATGAATATGTTGGGGAGACATGAATCTGATATCCTTCCAGTTAGACTCCGTTCCCAAACAGAGTCAACTGAGTGTTTAAAGATTTGTGTTTTTCATGTAACGTGGCCCCCGATGCCTAGCAACTGTCTCCCCTATGGTTCATTTGGACTCCATCTGATTTTCTCCTTACTACCAAAATTGAACACACTGTACCTTTCAGTGATAGCCTGGTTTGCACAGATGCTGCTCGCATTTATTTTGTTTTGACAAAGACGAGTAAGAAGCAGGTAGAGGGGACCTAAGTTTTTGGGAGGAGGATGGACTTCCTTGCTAGAACCATGCCCCCCTGTAACCCCCCAGGAACCCAGTTGTTTTTATATCCTCTGAACGAATCTTCCAGAAAAACAGTTTGAGATCTAAATGACCAAACTGGTTAAGATGGTATCTTCCTCCTGGCTCAACAAATGAATGCTGATCTTGGACATCTCCTTGGTTTATTGCCATAACCGTAGAGTATATGAACCACTGGGGATGTTGGGAGCAACTCCATCCATTAGCTGCATGACAGCTGGTCTGTAGCCTGATAGGAGCCCACTGCTGATTGTGTACAGTCCAGGGCCGGGGGAGGGGGGGGGGGTCGGCTCCACATTTCTGTGAGAAGACCATTTGGGGCGATGCTTTGTCTCACCCCATTGCTGCCTGTTTAGGAATGCTGAAACCTGATCAAAGAACTCATTTTTCCCTTCCCTGTGCCAGAAAATGTTTTTGTTTTTCTTGCAGAGATCCATCTCCGTGACCTTTATCAAAAAAGACCATTATTTTTGTTTGTTTCACATTTATGCAAAATTGTGACCCAGATCTTTTAGGCTAAACAGGATGATCATGAACATGTGGGCTGCTGTGGCTACTCCACAGATTGCCCCATAGACCTCTGTGAGCTCAGCATGAATGTGAAGCTCTATCGATGGGCTCAGAATGGCATTGGGGTTCCCCAGGACTGAGTGTCCTGTGGTGTGCTGGCCTTCACTAGGACAGCATATGGTTAGTGGCAGGGAAAGTGAGAAATTGGAGTGGTTTAGAGCAACTTGGGCTTTGCAGAAGAAGTGAGAATTTGTCTAGCTCCAAGCGACCATGTGTCATGAGGTCACCAAGGCAGTATTTAGATGCCCCAGAGTCTGAGAGCCTTGGATATCTTAGAACACGTGCTACACTTATAACAATGTAGCCTTGCTATTATGTAGAGTTTCTTCTAAAGGATGGTCTAATATGAATCATATTTGACATGAATTTGAGCCATGGAGGTAGCATTTCTTTTTCTTTTTTTTTTTTTTTTTTTTTTTTTTTTGAGAGCAAGAGAGCAAGAGAGGGGCAGAGAATGAGGGAGACACAGAATCCTAAGCAGGCTCCAAACNTTTTTTTTGAGAGCAAGAGAGCAAGAGAGGGGCAGAGAATGAGGGAGACACAGAATCCTAAGCAGGCTCCAAACTCAGCTGTCAGCACAGAGCCCGACATGGGTTCAAACCCACAAACCATGAGATGACCTGAGCCGAAGTCAGACGTTTAACCAACTGAGTCACCCAGGCACCCGAAGGTAGCATTTCTGATGCCTTTCTCTACCTACCATTTGGATAGAACATAAAGGAAGCACACTTAATGCTCAAATCTAGCTTCTGAAAAACAAAATTGGTACTGTTTTCTATAATAGAAGACCCTCTTTAATACAACATAATTTGAGAGCTAAAATGCTTGGTTTAGTAATTTTTAAGGTAATTTGTAATATACATACTGAGAAAAAGTTCATAAATGCATTTCGTCATGAATTGATATTTCTGAAAGTGCCTAGCATAATGTTTAGGAAATAGGCTTTTAGTCAACATTAGTTTCTTTTAAGTTTTTTCCATCTAGAGGGTCTGTTTTATTGATGTAGCTTAGAATGACTGGTGCATAGTGCTAGGCAAAATGTCATCAGCCTTTTTAAAAATCCGTCATTTACTTCCATTTTCGCTTTCTATTCTGTCCACTTACTGAAAGCTGTTCATAGTATTTCATGCTGTAGAAAATGGGCCTAAAGCAAAGAGAAAGAATTTCCTGGTTTTGCTATGCAAATTAGTCATACTGATTGACTGCAGAGCTTGTTTTACCAAATAATTTCCAAATATTTTAACTTTATCTTTTTACTTGAGTTTAGCTATGATCTAAGACCTGGCCTGGTCCAATATCAGAAAGTAGGTCTAGAAACCTAGATTTCTTTCTCTCTACTTGTTTACTGCTTTAAATTCTTCTGAGGATATTGGTATCCATTATTTCCTTTTCAGGAATGTGGCTTTTTCACTAAGACCTTATCAGACCTCTTTAAAATCAGTGTTTTCCAAGAATGAACCTTTGGTCTCCTGAATTCTGTTCTTGTGTATTTCTGATTTGATTTTTTTTTTTTTTTTCTCCCCCTTGGACCCTGAGCCACCCTTGGGTCCAGCATCCCGCTGTGACTATTGTTCTAGAAGACCTAGCCTTTCTGTGCTCATTACTTTCACACTCTTACATCTTCACCTAAAACCCTGAGGCCCTGTAGTTTGTATCAGTCTTATTTTTTTCTGCCTTCTGTTTGTTCACTCACTTGTTTGTTCAATCGGTAGGCCTGCAGCACGTAGCTGGTGCCCCACAATCTGCTCACTGAGGGCTGCAAAGATGAGTGAGGGAGCTAGAATCCAGTTGGCTTGCATCTCCATGCATGTGGAGGGTCTTTTGTACGTCATGTGGCACAGTCCATTGTGATATGAGCGTTGGAGAAGAATCAAGCAGTGGTTGCATGGCTGTCTTGTTCCTCCTTTATGGGTGTCAGTAATGCCTGTTGGGCCCCAGGTACCCCAGTTTCCGGCATGATCATCTGCTCATTCTGACCTCATCTCTCTCTATCAGATGATCTGTCCTCAGCTCTTCCATCCCACTCCCCTATCTCAGCCCTTAACACCAAGGGAGAAGCTTTCCCATCAGACCTAGCATAGCCATAAGAAGCAGCTCTGACAATGAGCAAAAAGAGCACAAGGAGTGATATCCCGTGGGCAGAAGTCTGAGAAATGCTTCCAGTAGGAGATGGAGCTCGTGGGAGGGGGAAGAGTGTGTGGATTGAGCAGAAGACATCCCTTCCTCTGAGGTCTCAGACTGGGCTGCAAACGATATTTGTCCATCAGATGTGTTTTTGCCT